ATTTTAATGCTTCTGGTTACAGGACACGCGGCTTCAGCCCACCAGGAGCAGAGAGCTCGGGCTGCATCTCCTGCATAAGCTCAGGACATGGAAGATCTACCTCACCTGTCGAAAGAAGACTAAAAACTACACACACACACGCCCAAGGAAGCAGAGAAAAGGAAAAGAAATACAAGTCAACCCTGAGAGATTGTTTGTTGTCCCAAGTCTGAGCAATTGCTTGCCTTGCATCTGGATTTCTGTTATCTGCATGACGTTGGTCCTCAAGCAGAGAAGTTAAATAGAAATCTGGCTTAGGACCCTTGCAGTCCCTAGCAATACCACACAGCCCCCCAGAAGCAAGAAAGAACTCTGTAAGAATGTCCACATAGCCTAGGACTTATGGGACTCTCACTAACACACACACACAAACTGCTGAAGAAAAGCTCACAATAAAATATTATAAACTAGACAAGGAAGTAATCCACTGTAAGAAAGAGTCAGCAGACATAACAAATAGGAGAATTAACACCCCTAGAACTGTGCGTATTACGACAACATGAAAAATACCATATAATATATAATAAGTATACTTAAAAGCATCAAAGATTAAAGACAAGAAAATAAACCATGATAAAAATATCGTATTATGAGCCCTGGCTGATGTGGCTTAGTGGAGCACTGGACTGTGAAGCAAAGGGTCGCTAGTTCGATTCCCAGTCAGGTCACATGCCTGGGCTTCAGGCCAGGTTCCTAGTAGGGGCCACTTGAGAGGCACCCACACATTGATGTTTCTCTCCCTCTCTTTCTCTCCCCCTTCCCTTCTCTCTAAAAATAAATAAACAAATACATTTTTTTTAAAAAGAGGGAAAGTTAAAATATTAAAAAATGAGGGACATGTGATTGAAATTAAAGACTCACTAGTGTATTAAACAGCAGACTAGACCCATTTGGAAAGAGAATTAGTGAATTGGAAGATAGAGCTGATGAAATCATTCAAAATTTGGGGGGAAGATGATGAGATAGAAAATTAAAAAACACGAGGGAAAGAATGAGATAGATAGATAGATAGATATGGCATATCACACCCCTGTGTAAAATCGGGGCTCCTGAAAGAGACAGAAAGAATCAGGGGAATGTAATATATCAATCAATAATGATTAAGAATTTTCCAGAATGGACAAAACCAACAGTCCTCAAGTTGAAGAATCTGGAACTCACACATTATGGTGAAATTGCAGAATACTGAAGAGAAAGAGAAAAATCTTGAAATGAACCAGAAAAACATCTGTTTGCCTACAAACTTAACAATGATATTGGCAGCTGACTTCTTATTAGCAACAAAATATTATAGAAAAAAATATCTTCAAAAGACTAAGAGAAAACTGTCAACCTCAAATTCTATGCCTGTTGAATTTCCATTCAAATGGTGTGAAATAAGGACATTTTAAGGCAATGACTGAGATTATTTTCCACTCAGAGACTTTCACTGAAATGCCACCAATGGAAATACTTCATAAGAAGGAGGGAGTGGAATGCAAGAGGGAATGGCGAGCAGATAAATTATAAATGTGTCAGTGAATCTGGGCAAGCAGGGAAAGCCACTGTTGAGACTGCAAATTTGTCCAATGGCTCTATAGAACAACTTGGCAATAACTAGTGAAGTTTAAGTAATGAAGTTAAGCACACAGTCTATGACTCAGAAATTCTACTTCTAGGTATCTACCTTGTAGCAGTGCTTACATAGATGCCAAGGAGACGTGCACAGCCCTGTCCATGGCAGCGTGTTTATAATTTGGAAAACTGGAGACATTCTAAATGCCCATTAGCAGGAGAATGAATAAATAAATTGTAGTATATTCATGTCCTGGCTGGTGTGGCTCAGTAGATTGAATGCTGGTCTGTGAACCAAGAGGTTGCTGGTTCGATTCCCAGTTGGAGCACATCCCTGGGTTGAGGGCTGGGTCCCCAGTTGGGGGCAAATGATCGACTGGTCGATGTATCTCTCACACATTGATGTTTCTCTCCCTCTCTTTCTCCCTCCCTTTCCCTCTCTCTGAGAATAAATAAATAAAATATTTAAAAATTGTGGTGTATTCAAACAATGAAATAGTACTCAGCAGTTACAGTTCATGAACTGGAGCCACGTGAAACAACATGAATAAATGTAAAAAAGAGTTGAAAAAAATGAAAGTTTGCAGAAGAGTGTATACAACACAATACCATTTAGATAGATTTTTAAACATACAAGTCAGTGTTCTGCATTGTTTGTGGATGGTACTTACAGAGTAAAAGTGCAAAACCACAGAAGGGCTGTCGCTGAATCAAATATGGCAAGAAACAAACAGGAGTTGGATTTCGGTGGCGTGTACATGGATGTTTATTGTTATTCTCTGTACTTTTGTGCATGTTTAAAAGATTCATGTTTTTTTCTCTTTAACGAAGGGATCTAGGCATTTAGAAATAAGGGTGAAGGGGGATAAACGGCCGCATCAATCCTCAGAGCTGCGGGGATGGGATTAGCGGGGAGGCTGAGTCCTGAGTCCTGGGTTTACAAGAATTAACTTCGATCATCCCCCTAAGCGGATCACCTGGCTGGCTTCCCCACCACTGATGGCCCTTCAGAGTGCAGCTCTTGGCCTCAGTCCACTCCCCCCCTCCCCCCCCGCACCCACTGAGCCCTTTCCTCCTGCCTCCCAATGCCACCCCACCCTCAGCCCAGTGCTGGTCTGGCCAGGGACTGCCCAAATTTGGGTCCTGAGATAGATTGGTTCAGATCTCCCCTGAACGCTCTCCCAGTCAAGGGCCAGGGAGAAATTAGTCCTAATACCCAGGATCAGAGCTCCCTAAGGAGAGCTTGGACCCCTGGATATCACAGTTGACAGCATCCTTCCTTGTCCTTCCCCCCTCAGCCAAGGGGTCAGCGGTGAAGATCTACTGCTCACTGATCCCACTGGCCGAGCCAGAGCCCCAAGGAGCTGCGCTGTGGCAGAGCTGTCACTGGGCCTCCAGCATTAAGCTGTCAGTCACCAGAGCTCTGTGTCCCCCCCGCCATACCAGCCCCTTTCCACCACCCCTGCCAACTGCCCTGCTCCCCAAGTCTGGGCAGGCCTGATATCTGCAGCAGGACCCTCTGGAAGGGGTGTGGGTGGGCTTGTTCAGCTGCCTTTCCCTGCCACGGGATCATCTTGACCACAGGATTCGGGGTGGAATCCTGACCTCTGGGGAGCAAATGAAACTTCCACCATCTCTCAGGACACCAGGCTACAGGGATGAGTGGGAGGAGGAGGGAAGAAAAGAGAACTCTTATAGGGCAACATTATTGTTATTGGGCAACATGTAACTTCGTAAGTGTGAAATCATATGTTAAATAAGATGGAGCATTAAAGGCATAGCTGGAAGATTCACTTTTATCCTTTTAGTTATGTATCAGGTACTTTGGTAGATGCTGGAGATTTTACTTTATTTTTTTATTTTTTCAAGATTTTATTTATTTATTTTTAGAGAGGGAGGGAGAGAGAGAGAGAGAGAGAGAGAGAGAGAGAGAGAGATCAATGTGTGGTTGCTGGGGGCCATGGCCTGCAACCCAGGCATGTGCCCTGACTGGGAATTGAACCTGAGACACTTTGGTTCGCAGCCCCCGCTCAATCCACTGAGCTACACCAGCCAGGGCGATGCTGGAGATTTTTAAAAAATGACTAAGATACTTCCAACCTTCGGTAAATTGGGCAGACGGAAGAGCAAACACCTGACCTGGACAGCCTAGAGTGACTGGTGCCGCCCCAGAGGGAAGGAGGACTAGGCGGAGCCCGGGAGGGGCCTCCAATAGGGAAGGCTGCCTGCAGGGGTCTCCCCTCCTAGGGCTGAAGGGTAAGTAGGGGATGTCCAGGCAGAGGACTTCCTTCCTGGGGATTATGGAGCGCTTGTGAACTCGGCAGCCTGTGGGAGTGAACAAAAACAATATATTCTCTTGCCTTGTAAGTGGGTATGCGAGAGAGGGTGTATGTCCCTGGCTTAGCAGTCTCCTAGTACTTTTTGGGATGTGCTGGGACGCCCCAGTTGCAAAGTGTGTACGCACTCTTTCCCTGTTGAGAGACCTGCAGAGATGTGAGAACAAACGCCTTGGGCACCTGGTAAACAGGCTTGAATGAATGATTGATTAAGTGATGTAACATCAGCCCTCTGGGCTTCCACAGGTCCCTTCTACAAGAGTGAAAATCAGTAGTTCGCACTCTGAGCCGGCTACACGGGCGGGGTGCGTGGGGGGTCGGGGCTGGCAGAGCATGGGATTTGGGGCCAAGTGGAAAAAAGGTCGGAGGGTGGAGAGAGAAAGTCTTCGGCAGCGAAGGCTGGTGGAGCCTCGGAGAGGGCCCTGCAGAGTGCCCCTGGTTTGACTTGGTGGAGTCTCCGGGAAAGCAGAGAGACAAGGCCCGGCGTTTCGCGCATGCTGGCCTTGGCTTTCTTCCTCCTGCCCTCCCGCGACCCTGGGTCACGAAAGGCCACCGCGCGGAACTGGGCCGGGCAATTCGGGGTCAGAGCTGAGAGCAGCGGTGGCGGCACCAGCCCTGTGTGGTGGCAGTTTGAGTGCGCGTTTGGAAGGAACAGGCCGGGAGGATTTGCCCGTCCGTGTCCTTTTCCTGCCCCATCACCGAGTGCATTGAGAGGGCGCGGGCCCTTACACAGGGCGCAGAGGGGTCCCAGCGCGCAGCGGGCTCCGGGCAGGACCCACCGCCAGACCAGGGGGTCTCGTCGCTTCCTCTTGGGGCAGACTCCAACCCCGATTCGCTCCGGTCCGCTCGCCCCTCTCCCTCCGCGCGGCCATGGGCGTGTCCGGGCACACGCTCCCTAGCCCTTCCCGCGCCCGCGAGCGGGCGCCGCGTCCCCGAGCCCGGTGCGGGCAGGGCTCCCGGGCGGCGAACAGCGGACAGCGGACCGCGGACAGCGGGCGGGGGCGGTGTCAGGTGGCCGGGCCAGGCCCCGCCCCCTCGGCCCGCCCCCGCCTTCCCCCGCGCGCCGGGCTCCCGGTCCGGGCCTCGCCGCTGCGGCGTCTGCTTCGGGCGACGGCGGCGGAGCGGAGCGGGCGGCCATGGAGGCGGGTGCCGGGGCCGGCGCGGGCGCGGCGAGCTGGAGCTGCCCCGGCCCAGGTCAGAGCCGCCCCTTCCTCACTTCTCCACCGCCGCTCCCTCCTTTTCCCCATCTCTCCTCCCTGCGGACCCCCAGGTCCTTCCTCCCTCCGAAGTCTTCCTCCCTCCGTCCCACCCCCCACCCGGGCCCGGTCTCCATCTTTCCGAGCTGGGTCTTCCGCCACCGGCCGCATCCTCTCCGGCAGCCCCTCTCCTGAGCCCTCTCCATCTCGGTTGTCCAGCTCGGTGGTGCTTCCTGCCCTGGGGGCTGCAGCCCCTGCACCCCTCCGGCCCCCGAAGGCTCCTGAGCGTGCGGCGAGGGTGGGGCGGGCGAGGTCCAGAGGAAGCCTTGAGGGGAAGGCAGCAGCCCTGGCCTGGACCCCTTCCCACAGCCCCGCCCCCATCACCTGCCGCCCTCCTCGCACCAGCTCCCCCTTTCTTCCTTCCTAGTTCCTGCTCTCTCTCCCATCCTTACCACTCTCCTCCTGTCCCCCTTGGCCTAAAGAGACACACTCTTTCCGCCTGTGCAAGGGAGAGGAGCCTGGAACAGGGGGTGCCGAGGGGGGTGCAGGGCGGGGTCCCTGCAGGCCCTGCAGGCCCAGCTCGAGGGGCGGCTGAGCAGGGGGAGAGTCGCAGTTTGGGGCGGAGTATACCGAGCACTTCCACCAGGATTAAAAACCCCCGAGGCTCCCAAGGGCTAGAAGGCACGTCCCCTTCTCTCCCTTGCGCCGCACCCCCAACCGCCCCTGGCGTCAGACGGTTCCTCCTCTCTCCCCGCTGGCAGGCCCCACAGTGACCACTTTAGGCTCCTACGAGGTGTCTGAGGGTTGTGAGAGGAAGAAAGGCCAACGCTGGGCGTCCCTGGAGCGCCGGGGGATGCAAGCTATGGAGGGTGAGTTTTCCCAGAAAGCTTCCTCTCTCTGCCCCTTGCCCAGTTTCTCTTTCCTCCTCCTTCCTCCCTCTGACCCCCAGAACTCTGAGCCAGGACACAGCTCTTTCCCGAGTTCACCTGAGCCCCCTCCACCCCTCCTGAGGGTCAGGCTTTGAGGAAGGTGCCAGGAGGTTCCCTTTGAGGCCCTAATCCCCACCTAACCGTGCTGTGTGTCCTGCCGGAGCTGCCAGACAGAGGAAGAGGCCTCGGTTGGACAGGGCTTTGAAGCAGCTTTTCAGCAGGGGGTTTGTTCTTACTGCCTCCCGACCCAGATCCCAAGCTGTCTCTTGTTTTAAAAAGCAGGGAAGTGAGCATGTGAATTGTCTTTCTGGTGTCACCACCACCAACTTCATACACAAGCCTTGTGGCTTTGGTTCTCTAGGAGGGCTTCCTGCCTGACAGAGGGTGCCTGGGAGGGGGCAGGTGAGAAGGCCAACCTCCCCACACTCGTGTGTCCCCACCACACCCGTGGGACTCTGTGGCTGCTGTCCACAGCAGGCCCCAGGATGCGGGTCCATTTCCCAGGATGTCTTGTGAAGTGTCCCCAGACCCCTGTGCACACTCAGTGTGGGTAACCCAGCTTTCTCTGGGGAACCGATGATTCAAGGGACCCCAGATGAAACTAAGGCTGCTGTTATTGGATAAAGTGAGACCTGGGGGTTAGAATTTTAAAACAAAGCAGACAATCACCATCCAGACAAGATTTTTTTTTTTTTTTGCTATTTAGAGGAACTGCATTGCAGTAAAGAAGGGGTGCTCACCAGCCAGAGGCTGGGGACCAGCACACCCCAGTTTCTTAATGCATTAAAGGCTTTCTTCTACACACAATCACACCCTCAGATTTCCCCTGAAAAACTGCCTTGTGGTCACCAGGAGAGGAGGGACCTCCTGACACCCAGGAAAGGGAGAGGAGACCACTCCCCCGACCCCCACAAACGCTCAGCAGGAAAAAGGAAGGTGGACTTTGTAGAAAATTTCGAAAAGGAGCACATCCAAAAGGGCCCCCATGTTTGATTAGTGAAACATTCAGAATCACTTCACTTAGGTGTTTCCTTGCTATGCCTGCTGACAGGTAATGCCTTTTTATTATGGACAGGCTAATTTCCCACAAGCCACCAGGGTAATTTTTTAACTTTACAAAACCTCAAACTGCACCTCGTGCTCTGTTTGGCCTGAGTCATGCCCAGTGTTGAACCCTTTTTCGACTCCTTGACCCACTGCCCAGAGGCCAGGACTGGGAGAGCAGGTGCCCTTGTGCAAGTGGCACGTGGCCGAGTCAGCCCCCGGTGGCTCAGCGGGCCCACAGGCAGTAATGGGAGGCCCCCAGGTGCAATCCTGATCCAGAAAGGGCCTGGGCGGGGGGGTGGGCTACCTCTAAACTTGACCCTCACACCTGAGGACTCATGAGTGCAGGTCCTGCCCAGGGGTCCTTGGGGGACACCAGGTGGCACTATTATACCACCTCTGCCCTGGGACAGTGAGTTTGAGGGCCTGCCCTCAAGGGACCTGGGAGAGGATGTTGTCTCTGACTCCCTAGGATGGATGTCTCTCCTAGGGGAAGTATTACTTCCAGCTCTCTATGAGGAGGAAGAAGAGGAGGAAGAGGTGGAAGAAGAGGTGGAAGAAGAGGAGGAGCAAGTGCAGAAAGGTGGCAGTGTGGGCTCCCTGTCACTGGGCAAGCATCGGGGCCTGAGCCTCACGGAGACAGAGCTGGAGGAGCTGAGGGCTCAGGTGTTACAGCTGGTGGCAGAGCTGGAAGAGACCCGGGAACTGGCAGGGCAGCACGAGGACGACTCCCTGGAGCTGCAGGGTGAGTGTCCGTGGTGGGACAAGGGGGCCTGGGCCCAAAGGCGCTGTGCTCACTGGATCCCAGGCCTGATGCTGGTTCCCCCTCCCTGCAGGGCTCCTGGAGGATGAGCGGCTGGCCAGTGCCCAGCAGGCAGAGGTGTTCACCAAGCAGATCCAGCAGCTCCAAGGTACTTCCCAGAACTCAGGCTGGAGAGGTGGTAGCTATCTGGGTACTTCTGTCCTGAGGGTGTGGCTGAAGCATCGTGGACAGATACAACCTAATTCAGTGCTGTCTCCTCTTTCTTCTCTACTGGCATCGCCCTTTCTCGTCATTTCTCCATTCTCCTCTTTGCCTGACTTCCTTTCCTTTTGCATCTCTGCTTGGCTCTTCTGCCTTCCCCTTCCCTTTCTTGCTCCCCCATTTCACCCCTTCTCCCTGGGGTTAACTCTCCTTTTTCTCTCCTTCAGCTGCCTCCCTTTATAAGTACACCTCTTTTCCCTGGTTCCCCTGGTCAGTGCCAGGGGTAGGTGATCAGGATTGAATTCCAAAGCAGATTGCTTTTTCCTGACCCTCCAAGGGCACCATGGGAATAGCAATGAGCCGATGAGATGTGACTGGAGGGCACTCTATGCACCTTTTAAGTGAAGCAGATGAGAACGCTTCTTTTGTTCCCTAGGATGGAGCTGTGGCCCCCAAATCCCTTTCTTCCGACGCCCACATTCCCTTCATCTCTGGGAAGCAGCATGGCGGGTGTCCCACATCCCACTGTGCTACCAGCTAAAGAGGCAGCTTTTGTTGCTTCTGTGGACTCCCAGAAGGTTTAGGGGAACTGTCCTAAAAAACAGCAGGGACTCTCCCAGGAGAAGGGAGGTCAGGCAAAAAGAAAGTATAAATGGAGAAAAAAGGAAGGCCAGGAAACAGCCCTGGGGAGGACAAAGCAAAGGGGGAGGAGGGGGAGGGAAAGCGAAAGGAAAGAAGAGGTAAGCAGAGGGAGATGCAGGAGAAGTAGACAAGTCACGGGGGAGGGCGGGGGAGAGGAATGGGGGAGAGGGGGTGCACAGGGCCGCGTTGGAGCGTGGGTCTCCGATCATCTAAATTCTTGGGCCCAGCTCTGCCACCTAACAAGCTTTGTGCTCTTGGGCAAGTCACTCTTATCTTTCTGAAACTTGGTTCCTTATCTATAAGTGGGGCTACTTCATTTGTGTATGAACCACGTATGGAGCGCCTGTATACTTGGAGGACCAGCTGTGAAGAAGACTGACCGGATCCCCACCCTGACGGGCAGTACGATCTAATGGGGAGAGGCAGAACGTAAACAGCACAGGTTCGGGGGCAGTGACTGCTGTGAAGACAATGTAACAAGACGCTAGAGAGAGATGGGGTGAGGTGGGAGTTTATTTTTCATCGGGTAGTTAGAGTCCTCTTGAGGAGATGACGTTTGAACTAAGACCTGAACAAAGAGAAAGGTCTAAGGGAAGAGCACATAAGGTGGAAGGAATAACAACCGCAGAAGCTCAGAGGCAAGAATGAGCCTCATTGTGTTTGAAGGACAGAACAAAGGCCGTTGTGGCTGAAGCAAAGTGCATATGAAGGACCCTGGTAAGAGAGTTCTGAGGCAGAGGCCAGATTACAAAGGGCCTTGTAGGCCAGCTAGAGATTTAGCTTTTATCCTAAAAAAGTGAGAGGGGCTAAGCCTGGGCAGGGGTGATGTGATCTACTTTACATTTTAATTTTTTTAAAGATCTTATTTATTTATTTTTAGAGAGAAGGGAAGGGAGAGAGAAAGAGAGGGAGATAAACATCAATGTGTGGTTGTCTGTCATGTGGCCCCCAACTGGGGACCTGGCCTGCAACCCAGGCATGTGCCCCTGGAACCCTTTGCTTCGAAAACCCCAGCTCAATCCACTGAGCTACACCAGCCAGGGCTACTTTACACTTTTAAAAGGAGCACTTTGGCCACTGTGTGGAAATTAGTTGGAGGGAACAGAGCCTGAACAGTGAGTCTCATCAGCAAGTTATTGCAGTAGTCCATTCAAGAGGTGGTGGTTGCTCGGCTTAGAATGGTGATTCACTTACTGGAGGTGATTCACAGTAGATTCTGAAGGCCAAGCCTTCAGGACTCTGCTGAACTGGAGGGGGGATACGAGAGCGGTGAAAGACGGCTGCCTTCAGCTGGTTGGATGGCGGTGTCATTTATTGGGATGGGAAGACTTGGGGGCCAGGGGAAGCATTTAAGACATGTTTTCTAATTGTTAAGTTTGAAATAGCTAATGAGATCCCAGTAAATATGTTAAATTGGATATATGGATCTAGAACCAGGGGAGAAATGGGAGGTAGAACCTGGGGGTCATCAACATAGAGATGACATTTGAATCTGTGGGAATGCACCGTGAAATCCCATGGAGATATGGGAAGAAAAGTAGAAGGTATCCAGTCCCAGAGTTACTCCTTTAAATTAAAGGTCCAGTATAGAAGGAGAAATGAACGAAAAGTGAGGTGGAAGGAACTACTGAAGCCTTTAATGCCCTGGGAGCCAAGGGCAGAAAGCACTTCGAGGACATAACAGTCAACTGTGTCTAAAGTTGCTTAGTCAAGTAAGACGGCTGTTTGCTTTGGCGAGATGGAGGGCTCTGAGGTGTTTCAGAGAAGATAGAAGCTGACTGGATTGGGATGAAGACGAAAAGGGCAGGGTGGTGGAGAAGGTGAGCACGGAGAATGCCAGCGATCATGTTTGAAGAGACAGAGAAATAAAGGAATAGGAAATAAAGCCAGGGAGAGTTTTGGTTTGGGTTTTGGTATTTTGTTTTGTTTTTTGACGTAGGACACACTAGGTCATGTTTTTATGATGACGGAAACGATCCAGTATGGTATAAAGAGGCCTTTGCTTGGATAAGAGACATTCTCCCTTTGAAGGAAGTCAGAATCTAAGTAGAGAGGCTGGTAGGCAACTACGTGGGAAAATAAAGTTCTAGAGCAATTTCTACTCAGTAGGGTTGTTTCTAGCATTAGGTCTCATCCAAGCGGGGAAGGGGGTGGGGGAGAGTGGCTGTAAGCCAATCCCCAACTCCCGCTCCCCGCACCCGAGAATAAACAGACTGTCCTTGCGCACGCGCGCTGCCCGTTTCCGCCGATAGGGGGCGCGCGCGGCCTCGGAGGTAGCTGGTGTTGAGAGGCCGTTCCGGCCGCCACAGCCCCTCCGGGGCCGGGACCGGCCGGTGGAGGAAGGCCCCCCAGGGAGACCACTTAAGGGGGGCCAACAAGATGGAGATCATAACAAGTAAGTGACAACTGACTTCTCTGAACTGCAGCCCGATTCCCGGATCCCAGGCCTCTCCCAGTAGGTCCCAGAGCCACTATCAACCGGTGCTAGCTCTTTGGAACCCAGCTCCGACCCTTCCAACTCCCAGCCGGGGCCCACCCCGTCCGGCCTCTGGATAAACCCCTCCCTCAGGCCTGCAAGCCCTGCCCCTCGGGCCACTGCAGGTCCTGCCCTTTGTGTTCCTAATGAAGAGCTTTCTTAGGTGAAGGGAGACTGTCCTCCACTCCTTCCCGACTTGAGCATACCACTTTTTAGGGCTACACCCCAGAGCAGAGCCTAAGGGAGATTTGAAACCAAACAATGAGGGCACAGTAGGGAAGTGGAGGTTGGTTAGCCCCCACAGAAGCCCACCCTTTATCCTCATGGCCAGTTGACATGTGTGTCCCCCACTGGACTCCAAGCTCCAAGAGCCAGACCACCTCTGTGCTATTCAGTAATGGGTACAGCAAGGACTTTGTTCCTTTCAAATTGGAAGGAAGTCGGAGAAGCTCAGCGGGGAGATGCTTGGGTTTGGCACAGAGGTGATGATCCATTAATACTTGAATAGATGAAGAAGAGGAGGCAGCTGGGATCGTTCTGGAGAAGGAAAGGCTGGCAAAAGATGTGCCTGGAGGGAGCTTCACAAGTGAGCTTGGAGAATAGGGTGGGAGACCTTTCCCCCTGCCTCTAAGATGCCCTGACCACTCAGCATCTGTATCTGCAGTATGAGCCAAGTTTTTCTTCTCATAGTACGCAGTAAAAGTTTGTTCAGTTAGATGGCCCCCTACCACGTTTATGCATGAATACAGCAAACATTTATCAAGCTGCATTGTGTCAGTTACTGTGACAAATCCTGGAGCTATCTATAATCAGCAAAACAGACGTGTTCCCTGCCTTCATGAAACTTGTAGCCAAGTAAGTGAGATCAAGGTTTTACACATGCACGCTGCAAAACTGCCGGGTGGTTTCACACACAGATCTTTCCACACCTCTATTTATGTCTTCACATATTTGTGTTATATAGTGTACAGGTACATTTTTTTTTTTTTTGCAAAAATAAGATAATATGTTTTAGAGCTGATTTTTCTTTCTAGTTAGTATATTATGGAAACCTTTTCATGTCTTCTCTATAAGCCTGACTTTTTCTTAAGATTTTATTAGAGAGGGGAAGGGAGGGAGAGAGGGAAAGAAGCATCAGTGTGTGGTTGCCTCTCTTGCGCCCCCCACTGGGGACCCTGCCACCGTCCAGGCTTGTGCCATAGACCAGCAACCAAACCAGTGACCTCCCAGTTCACAGGCCGGCACCCAATCACTGAACCACACCAGCCAGGGCAACCTGCCATTTTCTTTTAAATGGCTCCTGATATTCTATTGAAGCATCATCAGTTTAAACAGTCCTTTGTCAATCAACATGTAGGTTATTTTCCCATGCTTGGTTATCATGTGATGAACCTACGTGTGAATTGCAGCTGTGAAATCTAAATATGCATTGTTTTAGGGCCAGTACTTACCGCAGGCAGTTCACGGGAGCGCTGAGGCTCTAATTTGTAAGCCCCCAGACTGAACACATGAGAATAATCTGTAATTTTTTTAGCCAGGGAGTTGTTTTTTCTTTTTTAATTTATTTAATTTTAGAGGGGAAGGGAGGGAGAAGGAGAGAGAAAGAAACATTAGTGTGTGGTTGTCTCTCATGCACCCCTGCTGGGGACCTGGCCTACAACCCAGGCATGTGCCCTGACAGGGAATCGACCCAGCAACCCTTTGGTTTGCAGGCTGGCACTCAATCCACTGAGCCACACCAGCCAGGGCTAGTCAGGGAATCTTTGAAAAGACTCAGGACATCAGTAAAATACTGCAAATTAGTTTTGGCCTTTACCTGTTAGGTGGTTCATTAGAAGCACTAATCATACTTTTTGTTTCCAGTAACCTAAATTGTTGCTTTTGGTGCCAAGCCTCAAAGTCTACTTTTCTACTACCTTACTACATAGATTCACTCTCTGTTCCCTTCTTTTTTTTTTAATATTTTATTTATTTATTTTTTAGAAAGGGAAGGGAGGGAGAAAGAGAGAGAAAGAGAGAAACATCAATGTGCAGTTGCTGGGGACAGTGGCCTGCAATCCAGGCATGTGCCCTGACTGGGAATCGAACCTGCGATGCTTTGGTTCACAGCCCACGCTCAATCCACTGAGCTACACCAGCCAGGGCTCCCTTCTTAAGTAATATCTTTTCTTTATTCCATGCCGGATGAAGCTGTGCTTCTCTGATGGACTACAGACTATGTTGCCAGGAGTTTCCAGATAAGAAATGATGTCTGCCTTTACCTTTGTGCCTCTAGAACACCTAAGATTAATTAACGTACCCTCTTGACCACCCCACTCTTTGTGCTTTGCAGGTGAGCTGAGGTCTCTACGGGAGGAGATCTCCCTGTTAGAGCGTGAGAAAGAATGTGAACTTAAGGAAATGGAACGGGAGTTGCATTTGGCCCAGGCGGAGATCCTGAATCTGCGACAAGCCGCGGAGGATTCTGTGACTGAACATGAGAGTGACATAGCATCCCTGCAGGAGGACCTCTGCCGGATGCAAAATGAACTTGATGACATGGACCGCATTCGGGGAGAGTATGAGATGGAGATCGCCTCCCTCCGTGCAGAAATGGAAATGAAGAGCTCTGACCCATCCAATAGTTATAGTCTCTCAGATTTCTCTGGGTTGCAAGGTATGAGAGTGCAAGCCCTCCTCCTGGTCTGTCAGTCAGGTCAAGCAGAGGGAGGTAGGGCACTAGAAGATGGCGGAACGTGGTCTTAGATCATGAGCTGGGAACCTCTAGAAAGAAACCTCCAGGTTGAAATCAACACTGTGAGGGAGAAAACCTCACCCAGTGTCACATAACCAATCCATTGTGGTATAAGAAATAGCACCATGGAGATGTACCCTGGGAATTCTTGCTCAGAGAGCGGCCAGGCATTTGTTGACTCTGCTGGAGTCCTTCCTGGGAAAGACAGTTCTGGGATGGGGATCCAGGGGCCTGTCACCTTGGGGAACTCTTCCTGCTGCTCTGGCATCACAGTGCTTTGTCTGGGTTGCTTTCTGGAGGGTCCTCCAGTCCTGCTCCCATGCCCCAGGATGCTAATTTCTAGGGTCCTTTAGCTCTCCCCAAAGTAGAGGCTTTAGAGGGCAACAAATCACAAGACAGCTGGAGAGGAAGGAAGGTTATTTCTAGTAATACATGTGGCACTCAAATGCTCGGAGCTCAGAAGTTTTCTGTGAGTTCCCTGCTAGTTGCTAGGATTCATGACATCAGAGAGTTTGCCTTTATTCTGAGACTAGATTGATGATCTGGGTATAATGGGAGGCCTTGTATTAGGCCCGGTCAAGTAGAGGCAAATCAACAAGGAATCAAAGAAGTGCAAGGTTTCCCAGCTGTCACAAGCTTCTCAGAAAGCCTTTGGCCTGTTGATGTGAGGAGAGCATGGCCCGCCTGGTGGAAAGGCTTGGGCTGGACTTACACGGGCCTCAGCTCGACGTCTCAGCTCTGCTGATCAGCAGAATGAACTCAGGCTCATTATCATCTCTTTGGACCTCCGTTTCCATATATGTAAAATTGCTTAATAAAACTTTACAGCCAGATGAGATCCTGAAATAGGAAAAGGACCTTAGGGAAAATGTAGAGGAATATGGATCAAGTGTAGAGTTTAGTTAATAGTAACGCACCCACCGGATTCCTCAGTCAGGACATGTGGACCCATTGTCAGATGTTAACAATAGGGAAGCTAGGTGAGGCCTCTCCCAGGGAATTCTGCACTCTTTGCAACTTTTCTGTAAGTCTAAAACTATTCTAAAATTAAAAGGTTATTTTAAAAAGAAAAGGAAGCCTTACAGGGCTATTTTGGGAGTTCAGCGAAATGCCTAGCTTGTTGAAAGCACTCACACACTGACTGAATCCAGGGCTGAAACCGTCACGACTAATGGTTAGCACATGGCTAGTTTCATAAAGATTAGTTTCCTCCCTTCCTTCTATGGTAATCTGCACTGTTCCAAGTACTTCTGATTGGAGTAAAAATTAAAAGTAAACTTCAGGATGTTGAAGCTGACAAGTAGGCCTTGCATTCTAATTAGAGCAAGTTAAGTAATCTTTCAGTATCAATAGAATTCTAAGAGAGGTAATTCTTTTTTTCTTCTTAAAAGATTTTTATTTATTTGTTTTTAGACAGAGAGGAAAGGGGGAGAAAGAGAGGGAGAGAAACATCAACGTGTGGTTGCCTCTTATGCGACCCCTGCAGGGGGACCTGGCATGGAACCCAGGCGTGTGCCCTGACTGGGAATCGAACCAGTGACCCTTTGGTTCTCAGGCTGGCATTCAGTCCACTGAGCCACACCAGCCAGGGCTAAGAGAAATAATTCTTAATCATGAAGAAACAATACAGATATGGGTGTTTTCATTATCACAGCATTAAAAAGTGTTGGGCCCTGGTCGGGTAGCTTAGTTGGTTGGAGCATCGTCCCGTGAACCAAAGGTTACGGGTCTGGTCCCCAGTCAGGGCGAGTATGGGAGGCAACTGATCGATGTTCATTCATATTCTCTCTCTCTGTGTCTCTCTCCCCCTCCCTCCCCCTCCCTTTCTTTCTCCCTCTCTTCTCCCACCTCTTTCTCTAAAATCAATAAACATATCCTCAGGTGAGGATTTAAAAATATATACACACACACACACACCTGGTACTTAGGCTGGGGCATTTCAGCTAGACCTGTGCAGATGCTGGAGGGTGATGCGTGGGTCTGGTTGAGATGGGCCCTTTGTCCACAAATGAAAAATCATCAGAATCATGACCGCATGCGAGCCGATGTATTTGGTGTGGTGATAAAGGAAGTGAAGGGACCTTCGGGACACCTGGGTTGTCTCCGAAAGGCCAGGACTGACCATGTGGCACCTGGCAGTTCGCATTTCTCAGCATTTTGTACTAAAAGTATAATAGGAAGGTAATCAAACAGTTCAGTGGAAACTTTAAATATAGTAAACCAAACAAATCATCATAAGCTCCTGAAAATCCCAAGATTCTGTGAGGGTTTGAAGATGGCTGCACAGGGCGAATCTCCTGGGAGGATGGAAAGGGCAGCCTCTTGAAAGACAGCAAAGACCCACTGCGGTGCGGAACTTTCTGGGCCCTGTCTTCTGAGCCTCTGTGTGGAATCTCTTCTGCCTCTAGAAAAAGAGGAGCTATTCAGCCCCAAGCTCTCGGATTTCTAGGCAGGGAAATCGGGCGCTGGTCATCAGCAGGTCCTTCCTAGCACCTCCTCTCTCTCTCATCTTGTCCTCTGCAGAAGAGTTGCAGCAGCTGCGGGATCGCTACCGCTTTCTGAACGAGGAGTACCAGGCCCTGCAGGAGAGCAACAGCAGCCTCACGGGGCAGCTCGCAAATCTGGAGAGTGAGCGGTACGGCCGGGAGGCGAGTGGGGCTCTAGGACCGGGCTGTTCCCCGACTAGGACTGGTAAAGGCAGACGCCAGGCTAATGAGCACCCGCCTCCTCCTGGAGACCCGGTTCTTCTTTCCCGTGGTGTCCGAAGGACGTGCATACCGCCTAGCAGCAGGCGTGAGGATTCAACCCAGTTGTCTACGGCTAGCGTTGAGTGGGTTAAAAAACTTAGTTTTCTTCCATTCCAGGCCTTAGACTCTGGTTTGCTTTGCCCTAGAGTAACTCAGATGTGATTCCTTTGTTGTCCACACGGACTTGTTCCAGTCCAGTGGCCTCCAGATGGGAGCCGGCTTGACACCCGGCCCAGCCTCCCGCCCGACTGGACTAGCGCTCTTAAAATCTCCGAGAGCCAAACAGAGCTTTGCCTGTTTGGGGACTTTGTGCCACTCTAAGTGTGTTTATTTGAGAGAGAAATCACAATAAAAGGCTCCTTACCAGCTTTTTCTTTTTGCCTGAAATGAAAGCATCAGGACCAAGCACACTTGGCAGGGGATGCTGGGCTGAGCTCTCTCCCAAACGGGGCTCTGGGGTTCTGCGTTACAGGACACGAAGAGCAACAGAGAAGTGGCTGGAGTCCCAAACCCTGCGCAGTATGGTATCGACAGAGTCTCAGACTATAGATGGAGACTTCCTGGAGTCTGATTCGGAAACCCAGTTGTTGCGACAGCAGCTGCTGGGAGCGGAGGAGCAGATGTTTGACATGCAGAACAAGGTAGGGGAAAGCAGGCCTTCTCCGATGTCGTTTTTACCCTCCCCTTGACTGTGCGGGAAACATCTCTTTGGACACAGGACCGGGGCACTGTGGCAGGAGATAGTACTCTGGGGTCTTGCTTGTTTCCCGGACGTGAATGTTCTTCCAGGCCTGTTCGTGGAGTGCACGTGGTGCTTGTAGTAAGTCGTCTTCCTGTCTCGTTTCCCACACAGTGTAAGGAAATGTGTAGTGAGCTGCAAGAGCTAAGGCATCATCGCCAGGCCAGCGAGGAGGAGCAGAGGTGGCTGCAGAGGGAGCTCAAGTATGCACAGAATGAGGTGCTTCGGTTCCAGACCTCCCATCATGCCACCCAGGTAAACACTGACGGGCAGGGAGTTTGGGGAGGGCAGGAGGGCCTCCGTGGAGTCACCGCTTCCGGGGAGGATGAACGCAGAGTAAGGCTGTGCTCTGCTGACTCTTGCCCTGCAACCAGGGGGACAGGCTACCGAAGACCAATTGGAGAAATCACATAGCGTTGTGTTCTAGAAATGGTAGTCATTCCTGAGTGTCTGCTGCAGAGAAGAAACCAGACCAGAGACCTGTGGGAGCTCGTCAACATGTCTGCATCTGGAAAAGAACCCAGCTGGGTCTGGAGAGGGGTCTGCCATCTCTTGAGAGTAACAGTTCTACCCACATCCTCCCCACCACAGAACGAGGAGCTGAAGACCAGACTCTGTGCCCTGCAGCAAAAGTATGATGCTAGCCAGGATGAGCAGACTGAGCTCTTGAAGGTGCAGCTCCAGCTTCAGGCCGAGCTCCGGCAGCTCAAAGTCATGAAACCCACAGTCATAGAAAGCCAAAGTGAGAAGGTAACAGCCCCCAGAGGTGAGGGGCAACTTAGGTGCTACGAGGTTTTGGGAAGGTGGTTAAGAGTAGAGAGTTAAAATAACCCAGCTGCCACCTGTGCAGCACCACGGGTGAAGAACACCAGCTGCCCTCCAGTACCGTGTTTGATGAGGGGACGACCAGTGTGTGGAGGGCAGGGAGAAGTCAATTCCTAGGCCGTCTGTGTCTGGGAGTGACCCAGGCAGAAGAGCGAGGGGGTTGAGGATCCCAGGAGTACTGCCCGAAGCCCCTCCACCATAGGAGTTACTGTGCCGGCTCCATAAGCTGCAGCTCCAGTATCAGAACGTCACGTGTGATAAGGATAAGCTGCTGGAGGAGCTGCAGCAACTGCGGGAGGACCTGCGGTACCACAAGGCAGAGGTGCAGCGCCTCAAGGACATCGCGGACTGCTTCCAAGAGAGCAGTGAGAAGGTAAAAGAAGCCTCAGGTGAGGGAGCAGGGGACAAGGCCGAGCTGCTGCACAAGGACTGGTACGCAGGAGGAGTGGGGATGCACGGAGGCCTGCGGAGTTGCTGCTGGCGAGGGCGATAAGGAGTTGCCTAGTAGAAAGGTGATCTCAGAGAATCACGGTGCTTTCAGCTTCCCCAGATTTTAAATAAGAAAATCAGCCTGTAAAAAGGAAGCCCTTTCCTTTCTCCACTCCCCAAAATGGAAGCCCCAGGTCTCTGCGTAGAGCCTGGTAGGGACTCGTGAATCTCAGGGAGCCCTCAGTGGGATGAAACTGGGACTGGAAAGGTCAGGGTAGGACCCCCTTAGTCATGGCCTGAGAGGAGAGAGTGCGGCCACCAGGGTTCCTGGGGTGACAGCGGGCCTGCGTCCCCTGCCTCCCCTGCCCCAGAACGCAGAGATGCAGGCTGAGCTTCAGGAGATGAGGCAGCTGTACGAGATGGGCCAGGATGAGCTGGAGCAGCAGAAGCACATGTTTGATCAGCTGGAGGAGGACTTCCTGCTCTGCCAGCAGGAGCTGAAGCAGCTTAAGATGACCCGGCCCATCCCAGAGGACGAGGGAAAGTGTGGTAATAAGGTAACTGTAATTAAGGGAGCCGAGACGTCCTGGGCACTTCCTCTGGAGAAAGGAGGTAAGGGCAAAAGAGGAAGTCATCCATCTACCCAAGGGGCTTGGTGGGCTCTTGTCCAATCACAGCGAAGCGCAGCAAGGGAGGGAACAGGGTCAGAGCCCCCTGCTATTAACCTTCGAGCTGTTTGCCTTGACCTTGACCTGAGCCACAGCTTAGTAGGATCAGTACATCTGGATCCAGTGTGAACACTGAAAGGCTTGCGCATAATTCCGTGTGTAATGATATCTTGTCATTTTCATGGACAACCTGCACACAGGCCCATGTGGATAACTTTGTTGAACTAGAAAGAGAAGGTCTGCTTGTCTAGGGCAGGGTGCAGATGCGTGTCAGATGGCGTCGCCTTGTGCCCAGGACACCGATGGGGTATTAGAAGGACCTAGGCTCTTCTAGGATTCATTTGGTGACTTCATAGTAGTTAAGTCCTCTGTGCTTCATTTTCACCCTCTTTAAATGGAACAGAATACTGATCTCACCCCACTCTCTTTCAGTTATAAATCCTGGTAGTGATAAATGAAGCCTTCCTCACTCCTGCTCCCCTTGTTTTTCATAGTGTGTAAAATGCAAGTCATTGTCAGGCACCCAGGGTTGAGCACTTTCGGGGCTGCGGCTAGGAGATGGAAAGGTGTTGAAGCGTGATGGAGAGCAGGCCCAAGATGCTCAAAAAGTCGTGGAGCAAGTCACATTCTGCCATAATACTCAGTAGCTCCTGCCACAGCCCACAGCAGGCTGTATCTCCAGGGAACAGCCTCCAGGAGGGACAGAACTGGGGGGGCCATGTGGGCCACCCCCGCGCAGTCCACCTGCCTTTCCGCGCGCAGGCTCACACTCCCCCCTTCCCCCATTCCCACTAAACTCAGGAGTCAGGGCCCTGGGCCTTGCTCACCCCTCTCTCCTGGTGGAAGAGGTGCAGCATGCCACGTACAGAGCAAGTGTTCTCCCAGGTCGTAAAGCAGCACTGAGATTAGTCTGATAGTAGAAGATTTAGGTTTTTGGAATCATAAAATGATTTCATCTTCTCAATCCAAATTTAGCAATAGTGCATACTTTTCTGAAGAGTTTAAAAGGTGATTATGAAAAAAAAGGAAAAAAATTAAGGTGAAATTAAGTCCTTATTGGTAAGGAGCATACTTAGGAATAAAAAGAAATTGAGGATAATGACAGTAACAGAAAGTGGAAATCCCAGCAGGGCGAGAAAATGGTGGGGACAGGGGAAATGGGGACAGCTGTAATTGAACAACAACAGAAAGTTAAAAAAGAAAATGGTATACACCAAAGGAAAGGGCCAGAGGAAAGGGAGGAGGGAGATGAAACACTCTCACTCAAAATGCTCTCGGAGGGGACTAATGGAAGAAATTCAGAGCGCAGTCACACAGCCATCCCTAGAATACCTACTCAGCACCTAAACCTGTGTGAGCACAGCGTGACTCAGGATAATCAGTACAGGGAGGGCGGCCCTGGTAAATCGCAAGAGGCGGGAGGGCACAGAAGTACTCCGCCAGCCGCACAGGCAGAGGACTGCCTTACGGAGTAACTGTCTCTCCATGCCCCCCCTCCCCCCGCCCATCCACAGTGTGATGCACTGCTCTCCAAACTGACAGAATTGCAGGAAAAGTACCAGGCCAGCCAGAAGGAGATGGGGCAGCTGCAGATGGAGCAGTACGAGCTCCTGGAGGATCAGAGGAGGTTGCAGGAGGAGCAGGGCCAGCTGCAAGAAGAGATGCACAGGCTCACGGTCCCGCTGCCCAAAAGTGGTCTCCTCCAGAAGGTAACCTGGCCAGTGAATGGCTGCGAACTGCAGCGAAGTGGCTGTGAGGAGCTTCCCAGCTGTAACCGTACTTGGGAAAAAGAAAAGGAAGGGTGGAGATAGAGATTTTTCTTTTCTTAACCAGCCACTGCTTACTTTCTCACCAATCTCAAACCAAAAAATTTAATATAGCTGATTAGGGTGTTACATCTTAAAATACTTTTGATGCTCTGGAATCTGCCCAGCATTTTGTATTTAGATATTTAGTGCATCTGGAGAAAATATACTTGAAGCACTTTGTAAACTACAAGATACATCCAAACGTATGAGATCGGTACCACTGTATGAGTAGATCTCCACGGAAGGACGGCCCCTGTCCCAGACGGCTATGCAGAGCCAGCCCAGAGGTTCCTAAGGGGAGGGTCCCCAGCAGGAAGGAGACAGAGGGCTCTCGTGGCACCACCACAATCCGTGCAACTTCCTTCCACCCTGCCTCACAGAGTCAGGAGCTGCTTACGAAGCTGCAAGACCTGTGTGAGCTCCAGCTGCTCTACCAAGGCATGCAGGAGGAGCAGAAACAGCTGATACACAATCAGGAAAATGTAGTGAAGGAGCAATTAGAGCTGCATAAGGAGCTGCGTCTCTTCAAAGAGTCTCGTTTCCAGGAAATGTTGGACAATCCGGAAGGTTCCAAATTGGTTAAGTCCTCCCGATGTGGTCAAAACAAGGTAACCATAGTGAGAGGCAGGGAGACGGCTCTGGGGACAGCAGGGAAAGGGGCTGCACAGAAAGGTCCCCCCAGAAGGCCTGTCAGCCTGGAGTCAGGATGAGACTGTGTTCCTGACCCGCCCCAGCCTGAGCGCCCCTGGGCTCACTCAGCTGTGGCTTTAGATACGGCCTGAGGGCCCGGCCAACCCACGTGCCCGCCCAGCCATAGCCCTGTAAGCACTTAGAACGGGATGACCCGGAAGTCTCTACATGCCTGTTAATTTGTCTCAGTCCCCTTCAATATCTCATTTTCCAGTTGAGTATCATTTAGTGTGTGTTTGGATTGCTTGGGACTGACTCTGAAAGTATCATCCTTTTCTCGGGAGCTGGGGGATCACTGAGAAGTACACTTCTCAATGATAAAGTCTCTAACCTTTTAGTGTTCTACATGAGCCCAATGTGGGGCCATTCGTTTCCAAGGGAGGAGTTCCTAGCAGGTGGGTCTTTTGGAGTGGCCCCCACTGTCTTCACTGCAACGTTGCGAAGAATAACGGCCAGGGCAGGGGGGTTAGACACCAGCGAAGGGTCGTGCCTCGGAGGCCTCACTGGTGCAGATTGCCATGTCTTTCAGGGTTGGGGGGTGAGTTTGGCCTGAGGTTTCAGTAGGAGCAAGGAAGCACAGGCAGACTGTTTTGATTTAGGCAAAATCAATTCATTCAGATACGGGCCTGGACAGAGGAGTTCAGGGAATAGCAGCATCTGAGTTGTGAGATTCGGTCAGATTCCAGGGGCCGCAGATCTCAGCCTGGATGACACAGAGACCAGGAACCAGGCAGAAAATGTTTCCTTCGCTGATCAGATCACATCCTGGGCACCAGCAGCTGAGAGGCCAGGCCCAGGGGGCCAGGGAAACATGTCCAGAGTCCAGATTCAGAATTGGCGCAGGAGGCACAGGGACTCAGAGTGAGACCTCGATTCCAATTCCCCACCTTCTGAGGGAGGAATTCTTCCTATGCTCACATTCGAGGCCAAGGCTGATTTTAGAACTGGGGGCAAGGGGAGGAGACTGAGTCCAAAGGTCGGGATGATGGGTACGCCTGGCTGAGAAGAGGGTAGGGTGCGGAGCCAGAGTGTTCTCGAGACCCACCCAGTGCTGTTCCGAGGAGAGAGCGGTGTGCCTAGGTGCAGAAGTGGGAGCCCGGGAACATGGAGTGCCTGCCCTGGGGGGGTTCTCCCCAGTGAGCAGGAAACTGACCCATGCCAGGTACCTGTAGGCCGAGTTGGCGAGCTAGGCTATCATGCGAGCAGAGCGAAGGTGAGTAGCTCTCTCAGGTGTGCTCTCAGGCGTCTGCACAGGAGGGTGCAGCTAGGACTGCAGCGTTAGAGTAACGATACTGTCTCCCACCCACTCCCTGCAGTCCAAGGTTATCATCGCCCAGATGCAGGTTCTGCAGGACCTGTACGAGGCCAGCTGGACGGAGCAGGAGCTACTGCAGGAGGAGCAGGGGAGGCTCCTAGAGGAGCGGAAGAGGCTGCAGGCTGACTTGCAGCTCTGCCTGGAAGAAATGCAGTTGCTCCAAGCCCAGTCCCCATCTATAAAAATGAGCCTCGAGTCCTACAAGAAGAGTTATTGCAGCAGCAGTGATGGCAATGAGACCTATTACAAAAGTTACGAGAGCACCCAGGGCAGTGAAGAGAGCTTTCACAAGAGCTGCGACAGTGACAGCAACAGCACCTCTGAAACCTACCTGAAGAGTTACCGCAGCAGCAGCAGCAACAGCAGCATCATCGCTGATAATGGTTATGACCTCGGCGGTAGCTCTGACACCCATTACAAGGGTTACATCGGTGGCCCTGAGGACGAACCTGCTGAGCCTGAAGATGTAGAGGTAAAAGTAGCCAGGTGGCATGTCAGACAGGGAAAGAAGGTTCTTATTTAGCAAGGGCCTAGCAAAGAGCATGGGGCGGAGGGCAGGTGCTTCCCAGGGCGCCGTCACTCCTCCCCCACCCTCCACAGCACTTTTTGGACGTGGTGGCCAAGGTGCTGGTCAAGCTGCAGGGAGTGCGGGCCTTGTACCAGCTCAGCCAGGAGGAGCACGACGTGCTGCAGGAGCGCATGAGGGTGCTCCTGGACCAGCAGAAGGAGCTGAAGGAAGAGCTGGATGCCTGCGAAAGGGAATTCAAGGAGTGCATCGAGGGCCATGAGAAGCCTGTTCCCTCCCAAAATGACAAGAATGAGGTAACTGCCATCAGGGAGGCAGGGTCTCTTGTAGGAGTCCCTAGGGCCATTGCAGAGAGGCTGGGTGAGGCGAGAGGGACAGGAGCTCACTGCCTGCTCTGCACATCTGCCCCCTTCCTGGCCAGACTGGCACAGTGCGGCCGGAGTCCCAGGAGGCGGGGCAGTCTGCTGCCTCACGGGTGGGCATTTCTCGGGTGCCCGCCGTGCTGGGATTTCCTGGTCTTCAAGACTCTTTGAATAATTTCGTTTTTTCCCTTTGCCACTTCTGTTCTCTTTCACTCTGTGCCCTAGAGCACTTCTGTAGGGTTATATTTTTTTTCACCTGCCAATTTTCTTTAGTTATTTTACGTGTATTTGTCTTGTCGCTTTGACCAGATTGTAAGCTTCTCAAGGACAGGCCCTGGCTCCTCTTGGGTCTGTCGTGATGCCAAGAACAGTGCTCTGCACCCACCAGCAGTGGGACAGAAGACGCTGTCTCTGACCAAGAGTAGCCCACCTTTCGGTGGGGGTCGCTGTGTGTGCACGGGAGGGGTTCAGAGAGCATTAGGCATGCGGGCCTAGGTCGCTTAGTGTTGGTCCCTACCCAGGAGACCCTGATGTGCGGCCGGTGGTCAGGAAAGACAGAGCCAGGGTTAGGGAGCGGGGCTGGGACTTGCCTCTGTTTCCAGGGCGAGACGAGGTGCCCAGGTCCACTCTCGGGAGTGTTCGGCACAGTCCCCGAGGTGATTGTGCCTAATAGAGAGACAGTTTGGGGGAAGGAGGAGTTCCCATCAAAAACCGTGATAGAACAAAGCCCAGTGTTCGGAAGGGGTGGCTCTACAGTTATTCTCCGGACAGGTCACAGTGAAAATATAACCCGAGTGAGTCATCCTTTTCTGGTCATGTTAGATGTGAACCATCCGGTGTCTCAGGTGAGGAAGGAGCTCTTTGTAAAACTGCCTCAGAGGCTCATTTCCTATGGTTTCGTGGGCATTTGTATTTTTGTTTTTGTTTTGTTGTTGTTGTTTTTTTAAAGTAACTTGCCTGATGTCATTCATTTAGTAAGCGATGAGGTTTGAACCCAGGCAGCCTGGTTCGAGAGTCCACACTCTCAGTCACTATGTTCTGCTGCCAACTCCAGGTCCCTCATGTTTTCTTTATTGTCTGCTTGCCCACGGGGTCTAGCTGGGCATCTTCTGAGGCAGGGACCCCAGGCAGGGCCCGGGCGGACCGCACAGGCCAGGCTGCAGGTAACTGGCCCCCCACGCCCACAGATCAGAGAGCTGCAGGCCAAGCTGCGGGAGCTGCAGCTGCAGTACCAGGCCAGCATGGACGAGCAGGGGCGGCTGCTGGCAGTGCAGGAGCAGTTGGAGGGGCAGCTGCAGTGCTGCCAGGAGGAGCTTCGCCAGCTCAAAGAGAAGCAGTCCTCCCTTACCAAGGAAAATAATGCCCATCAGAACACCAACAAGAATGCCAGTGGGGTAGAAAACAAGGTGTCCAAGACAAGCCTGGAGAGTTCTGAGACCAGCTGTGAGACCAAGCAGGTGAGTCATAACCTCTGTAGCCAGAAGCAGGAAGGTTGATGAGGTCCTGGGAAGAAAAAGGATCTCTACCACCATCTGACCAGGTGAGGTATTTGTAGAGACGCTTCTGGGGTTGCTAGGGTGTCCAGAGTGGTTCTGTCTCGGTAGCAGCTTGGTGCACCCCCTTTTCCGGTGAAGGTGCGGGGAAGGTAGAGTACAGACCGTGTGTACATGGAGTAGCAGCCCCAAAGGCCCACAGCTGCTGGGCTGGGTGACTGCTTCGGCTAACGCAGCCCAGTTTTCTGGGAACCCCGTTCTTCCTGGGTCACGTACTCAGAGAAGGACCAAATGAATGAAAAGAGAAACTTACTCAGAGTAGTTGTGTATACACAAAGAAGGTAAAATAGGAGTCGCTGTGCAGGGGTAGGAAGAGCAGGCGGGGTGCAGAGCCCAAGAAGCTAGCTCTGGCAGCTGTCTGGAGTGGTTAATGGCCAGGTAAAGGTATCGCTCCAGAGAGTCTGGGCTTGACTACCGTCCACGCCGTGTGCAGGGAGATCGACAGTCCCAGACCCCAGTGCTGCCCAGGCACCGTGAGGAGACGGGAAGCAGAGTGTTCTTGAGGTAGTTCAGCGTTGTGTTGAGGGGAGATGTCTTCGTAGGTAACAGCATCCCCCATCCTGCCCCGCCTCCGCCCACAGAGTCTGGAGGTAGTGCTGTACTTCAGGGCCAGCGACACGGAGGCAGATGATCCACCAAAGGAGGAGAAAGAGGAAACGGAGGAGGAAAAGAGGGAGGATATTGAACAGGAACCAAAGGAGGAGAAAGAGGAAATGGAGGAGGAAGAGAGGGAGGAAATTGAACAGGAACCAAAGGAGGAGTCCGGGAATGAAGTAGTTTCTGAGCCCCCAGATCCCACAGAAATGAAATCCACGGAAGATGAGGACACAGGATTGGAAGAGTCCCAAGACCAGGGGGGAAAGGAAGAAAACGACCAAGAGGAAGAGGACAACTCTTGCCCTGAAGGTTCAGAGGAAAATCCCCTCAAAATTTCTGAAAGCGAAAAGGTAATTGCAGCCAAAGGCTGGATCAAGCGGGAAGTGGGCCCTCGGGCTCACGAGGTGCCCCAGCGTTCAGGGTGACCGGCCCTCGGATGGACTTCCGCAGGACCGGAGGCCAGGGGTCTCTGAGGCGGCCGGCCCGGGGAAAGCGGAGCTGGAGACGGGATTGGAGAGAGTGGTCTCTGTGTGGGAGATGGCAGGCCCACCCCACTCTGCCGTGGAGCTGTAGCACAAGGACCTCCTCCGCTGGGTGGTCGTTGGAGTCCTGCCCCTTTCATTTACATGGTAGCACTTGTCACTTATGTCAGGAGGCTGTCTCCCTGCTTGAGGGCGTGAGTGCACGAGGGATGCGGACAGCGCGAGGCCTTCAGCCCGGGCTAGTCACGCAGGCCCCTGCCCACCGTGTCCTGTAAAGTGTGGCCTTTGTTGCTGTTAGGAGTGGGTGGAGGGCTGGTGTCCCCCACTGGGCTCCTATGTTACAAGACAGGAGGGTGGGGGCCTGGAGTAATAGAAGTGGTAGGATATTCCAGTCTGTACAGCGGGTCATTGACATTGAGTCCAGGGAGACCGGCCAGAACCCCAACTAACCCTCTACTTGCTGGATCTTGAGAGGTTGAGTGGGGAGTATCCTGGATCATTTACCAACAAAAATACAAAGCGTTTTGTATTTTAACAACCGGAACCTCTGCACAGGTACATACCAGCCGAGCTCCTGCCCCGGCTGAGGCTAACTGGCGGCTCCGCTTCCCTGGAGAGTCTGAGTTCTTCCTGACTGAGTCCTTGCTTTACAGTCCAGGTTCTTGCTGTCCCTCTAAGCACAGGGGAAGGAAATAAGTCTCTTGGGGGGGGGGATGTCACAGTTGACTTGAAGGCCGCCCTGCTTTCTGGCAGTTCAGTCAGCAGCCGCGGCCAAGGACCCAGCACGCAGTCCTGTGGACCTGCGGCAGGCGCTACCTGGGAGGTGGAGCAGGAGCGCCTCTTCCCCAGCATCGTATTTCTCTGAATTCCTGGCATTCCACCACGTGCTAGCTCAGGGCCTCAGAGATTCCCCGGCCTTGGATGCCATCTTTCCAAAGGCCAGACCCGATTTGTCCAAAGTCGACCACATCGCTTGTGTCTGCAGGGGGAGGTGACCCTTTGGCCCGGCGAGTCCTGTGTCTTCTGCAGGCAGCTCCGCCAGCAGGTGTTACCCCGGCGAACTGTTTCTCTCTGGGAGGCTGCTGCAGACAAGGAGCTGGCCCTTCTCCATCGTCGGCTTGTTTTAAGTGCATTTAGTCTTACAACCACAGCGTTACACTCCTGGGGGATTGTAGGGACCAGAGCCCAGAACATTTAAAGACTCAGTGGAAAGCAGCCAGAACAGGCCCGACAAAGGGACAGGTGGCCTGGCAAGAGGTGCGCTCTTCCCAGGGTGACAGCACACACACACATCCTCCTCATCTGGGGAGCCTAGCTTTACTCGCCGAGGCTTCACTTCTCCAGAGTTTCCTACGGGAAGGGCCTGGGTGCAGGTCACCCCTGCCTGCCAAGACACGAGGGGGTATGACGAGTCGAAAAGTGGACCCACCACCTGAGTTACACCTAAGCCGCCGCTGAGCCCATTCCAGTTCGCATCCTCTGGAGGCTCCCAGTGGCGAGAACCAGGCCCAGGTAGCAGGGAAGAAGCCCTGCTGCTCTCGCTGCCCGGTTTAACCTCTCAATCTCTCTCTCTCTCTCTCTTCCCTTTGTTTTCTCATCTTCGTCATCTGTTGGATTCATGTGTTTATGTCTTTTTATGCCGCCTTCCATTTCCCGGTCTCTCCTCGTGCTTCTTTCTCATCTGATATGTTGCAGCCATCCCCTGCCCCCAGCCCCCCCATCTTCTCCTTGCCTCTCGTAGGCCTGGTGGTCATATCGGCTTTGCTCTGGTGCTGGTGGGCTGAGACGTCGTCCTAACGCAGGTACTGGGGCCTGGGCCTTCTGCGGAGGGGTCGAGGGAGGGTGCCGGTGGCCCTTGCCTCCCCTCTTTCTCTTTTCTCTCAGCTGCTTGCTTCTCATTTTTGCCATTTTGTAACAGGCAATCCTGGGGTCTGAACGTTAGCTCTGGCTTTTCCTTGGGCTCCAGCAAAGCCCGTGACATCTCGGAGCACGTCTCCATAACACAGAGGCAGTTGGAGTGCTTACTGTGGGCATGGTTTGAGTTTCTGTCTTCTGGCTGGGAAAAAATGGGATGATCCCAGCACTGTTGTTACTTTCAGAGCTGCCCAGCCACTTCTGGTGGGCTGATGTCTGTCTGCAAGGCTGGCCTGGGGGCTCTTTGTTCAGGCCCCGAAGCAGGCTCTCAGAACCAGGCTCTCAGTGTTGTAACTGCCCAGGATGGCAGACGAGGGAACCGCCGCCTCCCCTGTTGGGTGAGAGAGGTGCCTGGAGAGCCGTGGCTGCCCCAGACCCGTGTGCGTGCGCACGCGTGCATGTGCGCAAGTGTGTGTGTGTGCGTGTGAGGGTAGCTGCAACTCATCCTTTGGGAAAATGGACGTGAAACCCCTCCTACATTACATACTTTTTACTGAGAAGTTCTCTTATCTGAGGCTCTGATCTCCAGAAAAATCAGAACAAGAATGCCAGGAAATATTTTCTAGTTCTCTTTTTATCCATTTTGGGGGCCAGTTTCTATTGTAATTGGCTTCCCGAGCCGGGCTTTCTGGAGAGAATGTGGTATTGGTGAAAAGTTTCCACCAACCAGAGATACAGGTGTCCTTAGGGAGCGAAGGCTGGTGTTTTCTGGGCACCTTCCAGTTGGCCGGCCTATGTGATCTGGTCTGTCGGCAGGATTCCAGATTCAGGGGGCAGAATGTGTGGTCTTAGGGCCCGAGGTAGAACCCATACACTCTTCTCTCAGCCTGTTTTGGCGCCTTTCTCAGGCTCCGCCCACCACTGCCACTCCCCACCTCCTGCTCACATCCTGGTCAGTGGAGTGTGGGTGGCCTAATGGGCAGGTTCAGAGTGGCAGCTGAAGCATTTGCTGGTAGCTCTTATCACCACTTCCTTTTCTCTCCTCCCTCCACTCCCCCTCACTTTGAGGGGTTCTCCTTACACCCATGTACGGTCGTCAGCTCCTTCAGTGACGGGTCCCTCCCTGTACCCCTCCTCCCCTGTACATTTCTGAGTCCCTGTGGGTGAGGCCAGGAGTGTTCAGCCATACCCTTTCTCCAGCTCAGACGCAGCCAGGCCCAAGCAGAGTGAGAGGAAGGAGCTCCCGGATAAGGGTCCTCCTAGGGGAGCTTGTTATGGTCAGAGCCGGCTGCACCCCAGTATTCAGCTCCCCAGCCAGGAGCGGAGGCAGTGACAGCAGAAACTGGCTGGCAGAGTTGTCAAAGAACTTGGCTGAGTCTGTCCCTGCTTCTTGTAGCTTAGTTCCAAGGGGCAACATGCATAATCTGAATGTGCGTTTCTTCAAATGTAAGCCAAGGGTTATAAAATCTCCGCCTGCCTTGCTGAGGACCAGATGAGTTCGTGTATATAAAAGTACTTTGCAAGTGATAAAACACAACATAAAAAAGCACGCACTTACAAAATGCACCCTCTGTGCCACGACTGTTCTCGTCGCCTTGTCCATAATAACACACTGAAATCCTGCAACGACGCTGCGGGGCGGCCGTTGTTACTGTCACTTGACTTTGATGAGACGAAGGCACAGAGAGGTTAACTCGTACAGCCAGGAAATTGTGAGTCAGATTCTAAGCACTTAACATTAGCAGGAAGTAAAATTTCAGCCCTGCTTTCCCTTATCATCTCATTTTGAGCAACTTTCCTTGGCTGCTTCCAGGTAACTAGGAAGACACCATACTTCTCCTGGTGACTACGAGCACATCCTGAACTTATTCCCTGTGTGGCTTATAAAACCCCTTGCACATCCCATGTGCTGAGTGACCCCTCCCCGTCCTCTACCTGCAGTTGAGGTTTTGGATCCAAGACAGAATTTTTCACGCATCCCTATTAGAGATAAACCATTGATCTAACCTGTGACGTTCTTTTAACCTTGACTCTGGTTTCACAATGTTCCCATTCCCTCCCAGCTGCAGTCCCCGTCAAGGCTGACACCCTCGTATCCTCATCCGGGTTACAGGTGAGGGCTGAACCGAGCCCCCCGAGTGCCGCCTCTGCAGGCCCTCGGCCAGCTCCTCCGTCACTCAGCAGACGGTCACGCAGCAAACTGCTGTCGTCCCGCCCACTTCCTCATACTCTGTCCACGGACGTCGTGGGAAACCTTGTCGGACACCTTGAGTCCAAAACATGATTTTCTCGATCTGTGAATTTATTTTATTTTTTGTTCTTTAATTTTGGGGGGCTGACATTAGTTAATAAAGTTACGCAGGCTCCGGGGTACAGTTCTGTAACACATCACCGGCTGCTGTGTGGATTTCGTGCCCCAGCCTCAAGGGAGAACCCGACGTGACTTACCCCTCGTGGCGCCCACACCAGCCCTTCACTCAGCCAGTCTGGGCTCCTGCCTCTGCCTGGTCTGCAGGGCGCCAGCTCACGTTCGTGGGCTTCAGCTCCTTCCTCCTGTAAGAACATCAGACTGACATTCCCAGCAATGCACACTAGGATGGAAGCGTCTGAGCGTGTAAATATTTTCTTACATAAATTACATACCCGCCTCCAACATTGTTTTGCTTCCCATTTCATATGTTCTTTTTAGCAACTTTCCAAATGTGGGAGATTTTCTTTGCTCTTTATAGTTGGCTTAAAGTCCTGTTTGTAGATCCGTTTTTCTCTAAGTAAATGCATTCTTGGCATTAATGGTAATAGCCGCCCTCCTCGAAAACTGTCTTTCTGTTATGCCGTAGCTTATGACATAACCCAAATTCTGTGTTTCAAGTAATAAACACATTAAAAAAGAAAAGTAATAAAAGCAGGAACTGTTTCCCCAAGTAGGTATTTACTTGTCCAAGATTCCCTGTTCCCTAAATGATGCTTATTGTCCCGAGAATTGGCAGGGCTTGCTAAGGTCAGCAGGGCCGGCAGCCTCCGCACATGCCCAGGAAGTCAGCACTCCCGGGGACTGGGGGTGTCTGATGACACGGGTATGTGCCTCCCGGCGCCAGCAGCTGGGTTCCTTGAATCCCTTTGAGCCAACATTGTCCACAAGGGGATGGGGTGCTTTCTTCCTTCTCCCTCCATCTCAGCACCCTCTTGACTCTGGGCTGCTGCTCCATGGAACCAGTGAGGTGCTGCTGCCCTTCCCAAAGGCCCCCTTTCGCCCTCATACTTTGCCACGGCATCCAATTCTTTCTCCTTGCCACCATTTGGTAGTCTGAGGTCTGGCTCCTGAGCGTGATTCTACACGCAGGAACCGGTGTTCTCACTCACGGGGCACATGCACAGGTGTGGCCTCAGGTGCTACACATAGGGTCATTCCAGGACTCAGAGCGCACTGTCTCCAGCGCTTACCCAGGAGGTAAGAGGGAGTGGACCCTGGTGGCCCCGAGGTGTCTCCAGCACCAGCAGGCAGGGGATCTCGGGCTTAGGGCAGGGTTCGGAGGCCTGGGCACTCACCATTTGTCTTTGGTCCCCACAGAACATGTTTGGGATGTGGAAGCCTCTGGTGTTCTTGGCTCTTGCAGCTGTGGCTCTGTATGTATTACCCAACATGCGACAGCAGGAGACAGAATTCTGCCTCCTGGAGTGATGGCAGACCTGGGCCAGCTGAGGGGGCAGATCCCAGGGGCCACTACCCTCAGCTTTGGGCACGACACACTGTGCCAGAGCTCCGCCCACCCACGTGTCTCATGTGTCCCCGTCATCTTAGCCTCAGCCACCCAGGTTGGAGAGGCTCAGAGGGAGCTACTGGCTCCCATCTCCTGTGTTGTGTAAGAGCCTGGGTCCCTTGAAATTAAATGTCATCCTGACTACACGAGACTTTGTGGCTTTTTGTTTGTTAAATACTTCACAACACAAGCAGAACAGAGCGGTTTCCCTCAAACCAGGCCCCTCACATAAGGGTCTGACTCCCGAATATGATCTGTCACCGACAGGTGACGTCAGAAACGAAGCTGGCTCCTGTGCCAGCAGCCGCATCGCAGGTGGGTTGGTCTGTGCACATTCGTGCTGTCACAAGGAGTGCATCTGGGCACTGAGAACGGGAACGACCTGGGCACCTTGCAGGAGGGTGCCCAGTGACCTGCCCGCAGGTTCTGTGCCCACACCTGTGTGCTGGAGAAGGAGGCCCTGGGGCCTGTGAGTGAGCCTCTGGGGCTTAGTCCTATGACTTGCAAAGGGTCTCACTCTTAGCGATGACTTTATTAGTCGCTCAGCATCCTGGCAGTAAGCAGGCCACACACTCAAAAGCTTTAACTCAAGAGTTTACCGAAGGGCAGAGTTGGAGAGCCAACAAGGAATTAGCGAAGTCCCGGGCACCAGCAACAGTGGAGAGTGGCTACCATTCCAGGCCTGCACAGGGGCCCCAGACACTCGTGGAAGCCTCAGGAGGGTGTGGCCCTTGTCAGCCACAAATGGAGTGGGGAGTTGATGTCCCCCCTGCCCCCCAGGTTTGTCTTGGTACCTCCCATAGGCCCTTTGGAGATAGCACTGATTTAGGGCAGCCCACAGATGAGCGGCGTCGGCATCGTGAGCTTGGACAGGCAGAAGCTCAGGCCCCATTCAGACCTACAACATGGAACCCGCACTGAACACGACCCCCGGTCAATGAGCAGTGCACGACCAAATCCAAGACACGGCCTCGGCCACATCAGACTGTGTGCCCTCAGTGGTGACCCAGCTGAAGAAGTCCCTTCATAGCCCACTGGTGCCCCTGACCCCTGAGTTAAGTGTAGTGAAACTCTGCTTTTTATCGACTTTGCTCTGGCCACCAGTTGGCTGGAGAACTAAGTTGTGGAAAGGACCACCAAGGGTCACTGATTTAACTTGGCATTAATTAGAAGTCAAGTTGGAGCCCTGGTTGGTGTGGCTCAGTGGACTGAGCACCTTTCTTCAAACTGAAAGGTCACCAGTTCAATTCCCAGTCAAGGCACATGCCCCGGGTAGGTGCCAAGTCCTCAGTTGAGGGCATGAGAGAGGCAACCAATCACTGTTTCTCTTGCACATTGATGTTTCTCTCCCTCTTTCTCCATTCCCCTCTCTCTAAAAATAAATAAAATCTTTTTAAAAAGAAAGAAGACAAAGAAGTTAAAATGGAGGTCATGGTCAGGTAGGTGGTTGGCTTCCAGTCGGGACTTCAGCTGGTCCTTCCCAGGCCCGAACCTAGAGGCTGGGCAATGACAGGAAAGGGGTCCTGCTTTCCCCCCAGCCTTTTTGCTTAGAATACAGAGCTCTCCCATTAGGATGCTGCCCCTGTTGACTCATTCTAGGATGCCATTCTCTTCATCCTCTGGGCTCCAACCCCTGGTCCTACTGATATTCTCGACCAGAGCAGATTAAAGAGGTCTCTCTGTGTTGAATGTGACGGTCCCTTGAGCTAGCCTTAGCTCCATGGAGGTGTCTGTTAGAAGCTAGGGCGCTTGCACCCAGGCTGAGGTACAGATAGAACCAAGGACTCGAAACACCTTGAGGGGCCTCTGACTCCCTCCATTCTGCATAACAGCTTCCTTTCTGCTCTCTCCCCGTGCAACAGCCCCCTCCGCTTTCCCTTCCCAGGTCACGTGGCACAGCACACCACCTGCTACTCCTGTCAAGGGCCAGCTGCTATTGGGGGGCAGGCTGGGCGGTTCTAAAGATCAGGAGCACTCTGGTTCTGATTCTGGCAGGTGCAGTGTTGGGGTACAGGGAAGGGAGGAGGGGAGCAGGGTGGAGATCCTGGCAGTGGACTCCACAGGGGATAGAGATGGAGCTGGGAGGAAGACCTAGCTCCCCGGAACCCACATGGTCCCTAAGATACCAGCAGACGAAGCAAACCAGCTCTCACCGTGCTCATCCTTTTACATTACCTGCTTTCATCTTCGCACACAAAAAAATCCCTATGAGAGCCCTGTGAACTCCGTTTCAGAGATGAGGAAACTGAGGCCCAAAAGACATGGTCTGCCCAAGGTTACAGAGTGCATGGATCTTTCCATCCCACCACGGTCTCCGGCACCCTGGCCAGGACCCCGGTCAGTACCACTGACTGGCCCAAGTGCCCGCCATGAGCCGGGCCAGCCTGCCGACCTCACGGGTGCCTGTGGAAATGGCCCCAGCTCCAGAAAAAAACAGGCTTCTCAGACATGCCCCATTGGACCCGCTCATTCAGACTCTGCTCAGACCAAGTTAAATGTGGCCACTGACAGTGGCGGATGAGCAGTGCCCCTTGAGGGGAGAAGGAGGGCCAGGTGGAAGGCCAGACAACCTGTCCCCCCCGCCCCCGAAGACAGGTCAGCAGGCAGTGAGTCAGGGGGCTATAAACGGCCTGTGGCCCAGCTAGCACTGCCCCAGATACTCAGCTGATGAAACCCCCTGTAAGCCCCTCTGTGTGCCCCTGCCGGGCTTGGGAGGGAACACACTGGCCCACAGGGGGGCCACCCCAACTTGGCAGACCCCAGGACCAGCATTGCGCACGGTCTGTTCCAGCCTGCTGGCCGGGCCTGGGGCCTGGGTTCATGGGCTATATTGAGGGCTGAGTCACCAGCCTGCCCCTGGGTCAGGCTGCTGTGACTGGCTGGCTGGGGCCTGAGTCAGGCCCCGATTTATCCTGGAGAGCAACAGGCTCGGGTTTCAGGGGGGTAAGAAGGGTTCTGGGAACCATCCTTGGCACTAGGCACCTTGCTCTGCTGAGACCATTCACTGACTCCTCTGGGGCCTCACAAGGACCTCTCCTGGGCAGAGGGAATGAGAAGCCGGGAGAGGGGACTCCTTTCTCTACTCGCTGGTTTTCCTCTGAACACACCCACCCCAACAGAGGCCCTCCGCCAACTGAGGGACCTCGGGCAATGCCCGCAAAACAGGACCACGAGCCACTAGGATGTGTGAAGGGGCCTCGGGCTCCAAGTAAACCCACTGTGCCCCTTTCTGTCCTCCGCAGCCGCTGAGGGAGAGGAATCCATCGTTTCTCAGATCTGTTCCTCAGTTTCTTCATCAGGACCTCAGAGACGACATCACTGAGCCCTCAGCTGGCACCTAGGGTTGGGTGTCAGAAGTCTGCCTTTTTACACATGCGCACACAAACACAGTCCCTTGTGAGACCCAGCTATGTGTCATGTGTCCCCAGGAGCTGGGCATCTCTCCACAGGAGAGCTCAGCCTCTCAAATAGTCGGATGGTACCAATGTCTGGTGGTTGGCTTTGGCTGTGGGACAAAGGTGGTACGGGGGAATGAGAGTTCTGGAGACAGAGAGGGGGTGCCAACCAGAGAGTGGAATTCCTGAGCACCTCGTCACAGGCAGCCGACAGAACATGAGCCGCAGGGCCCAAGCTATTTATACCTCCTCTGTCACTATCAGGGCCCCCAGGGCTCCCCCTTCCCAAGCCGCACACACCAGGCCCCTTTTCTGTTTCTGGTCCCTTCTCTACTCCTCCCCCTCCCTCCCTAACCGGAAGGGAAATAAATCATTCATGGACCCCTTTCACAATAAGCACTGCCCCCCCAATCCCTGCACTTCTTTCTGAGCTCCCTAATGAGGATTGCCCTCATTCTGCCCTTCAGAGGGGCGACAGCCTTCAAAGATGCCCAGACCCTCTCCTTTTCACTGCGTCTTGGGGAAGAAGAAGAATAAAGTAGGCTGATACAAGGTCCCAGAACCTTCCCAAACTCCAGTCCTCACACAGCTTGAGTTGAGGGCTGTCTGCAGAGTGAGAAGGCTGAGGAAGTCTGGCCTAAAGGGGTTCCAGGGGTTATGGAATACACGTACGTTACAAAATTACAGAATACATATTCTCTTTTTAAGTTTTTTATTTATTAATGTTTGGAGAGCAAAGATGGGAGAGAGAGAGAGAGATCAACCTTTGTTGTTTCACTTATTTATACATTTATCCGTTGATTCTTCTTGTATGTGCCCTGGCCCAGGATTGAACCTGCAACGTTGTCGCATTGGGGTATGCTCTAACCAACTGAGCTACCTGGCCAGGGACGTGTGTTCCCTTTATATAAGTATCCTCTATAGCTCTATCATCCCAGGCCAGCTCCACTGTTTCAGTGCCTCAGTTTCCCTGCTGTCACCATTCCCTAGCCTCCAGATGCCCTACGCTTAATTCTGAGCCCGGTCATGCCTCTGCTTCCTGGCCAGCTCCCGAGGGCTCTCCCTGCCCACCAGCCGCTGTCACGTTTCCCCTTGGCTGCTCTGGGCAGGGCTCTCCCTGTTTCTGTCTGGCTAACTCGCCCTTTCACTGGAAGGATCTGCCCTGTGGCCCAAGTGGGCATATTGCCCAGGGGGCTCCCTGGTACTATGAGGCAGAGTCTCTCCTTTCCCTCTCATCACCTTCATTGAGTCAGACTTGTGGAGGGGGGGGCGACACAGTGTGACTCACTGGGTTCTCTTTTCCTGAGCTCAGCTTCATTCTGAGGGGATGAGGCCAAACAGGCTGGTGACAGGGACACTGAGTCAGGGGCAGCCTCGATCTTTCTCCTGCGACCCTGGAACTG